CCCACCCTACCCCCGCCCCTGCACCCCCACCCCAACCCCGCCGTAAGCCCCCCCACAAAATGTGTGGCTATTATGCAACGCATAATAGCCACACATTTTGTGGGGGGGCTTACGGCGGGGTTGGGGTGGGGGTGCAGGGGCGGGGGTAGGGTGGGGGTTTAGGGGGTGGGTTAGGAGGGGTAGGAATCGTCAATTTTGCGAACGGAGCACCGGAGGTGCCCCAAAATGACGGTGGCACCGCTAGTGGCACCGGATTCCAGTGGCCCTGGAACCCCACCCTATTATCACACATGTCCGTTGCACGGGTCATTAAATTCAGATCATTTTTTATCATTAAAAAATGAGATGCAATAGAATATGGAGATTATATTATTTTAAGGTACAGAAATACAATGTTTTACAAATTTCGAAAGACTTCTTTATACACTACATTATTTGTAGTGTTTGTGGGAGTATTGTCTTCATTGCATATCAGAATCTTCAATCTCTTACGATTAGTTACTCTTGAAACTGCAACATAGAGCTGTCCATGACTAAACACAGGTTTCTGTAACAGTAGTCCAACATGTTTCAGAGATTGTCCCTAGCTCTTGTTAATCGTCATTGCGTACGAACTAACAACAGGGAATTGTCTTCTTTGAAACTTGAAAGGAATTCTTGTATCGGAAGGTGTTAATGATAGTCTTGGAATAACAACTTCTTCACCCATGTAGCTTCCTGATAATATTTTTCCTTGTATTGAGTGATTAGTCAACCGGGTTACTATCAACCGTGTACCATTACATAAACCCATTGAATGGTCAATGTTTCTCAAAAACATAATAGGCGTGCCTACCTTCAGAGTTAATTCATGATTCGGTACACCTGAAGCACGAATCTTATTTAAGAATTCGGGAGAGTGTAGGTCACCAAAAAAAACTTGAACTGCAATCCGAGTTCTCAACTTTATCAGAACTAAGGTATGTTCGAGTCTCGCTGCTTGGATTCATCGCTGTCATATATTTGTTTATGGAATCGACGGCATCCAATGTAGGAGCCAAAATTGCGCGCTCGTGCAAGTAGCTCAGTTCATTGGCTATTTTTTGAAAGTCTGGATAAGTTGAATTCACTATAGTGGCTATTGGATCTTCAGAAGACGGAAGTAACATGTCATTAGGAATTATCACCTCAGCATAGCAGTCATGTTCATCACCTGCGTTCCCGTCACCAATACTCTGAATCCATTTGCTGAATTCAAATGATTGATCGTAACCACTATCATGAATCATTGACTGCAGCCGCATGTTTTTCGTCAAACGCAACACAGCGCAGTCAAACGCAACACAGCGCAGTCTTCCCAAATGTTTTTCGTTAACGATGTCCTGTCTCGTTCCTTTTGGAATAACTGGCAAAATTTGACAAAAATCTCCACCAAAGACAATTGTTTTTCCTCCGAAAGTTTATTGTTCACTCATTGGATTAGAAAAGCGTAGAATATCGCGCAAACTTCTATCCAAAGCTTCGAAGCAATATTTGTGTGTCATAGGGGCTTCATCCCAAATGATTAATTTCGCTTTCACCAAGAGTTGTGCCAGCGGAGAGCCTTGCTTTATGTTGCAAGTAGAGTTTTCATCTGGAATCAATGGGAGTTTAAAACGTGAATGAGCCGTTCTAGCACCTGGCAACAATAACGATGCTATTCCACTTGACGCAACATTCAGTACTATATCACCTCGACATCGTATTGCAGTTGATAATGTTCTATAGACATATGTTTTGCCAGTGCCTCCATATCCGTACAGAAAGAAAACTTTGCCAGCATTTGTTTGAACAGATTGCATTACTGCTTCATACGTCGCACGTTGTTCATCGTTCAGTGAACGCAATAGTCTGGTGTGCTCGCATGCCAATGTTATTCGATCGTATTGCATTTCATCAAAAATCAATCGATTGGCTGAAGTCCAAATTCTCTGGAGGTTCGCTTGAGGCATATCTGTGTAATCGCGAAGGCCCTTACCACGACTCCTCACCAAGTCATCGAGATCACATAGAATATGGTTCTGAATCTCATCGTCAGTAAGAATTAGACCTAATTAAAATTTATAAAGTGTTAGTCATATTGTTTTTATTTGAAATCACTATAATATTAGAAAAAATTACCTTCATGATCCAACAAACGGCGTTTCTGGTACAAAACATCATCTCCCATATACTGCCAACATTGCTCCCACACATGCCTTGGTCTGGACATTGATTCCGTTGTCAATATTGTTGCAAATAAATTCCTTAGCTGCGCAGCAAAAGCCCTGTGTGTAACGCCCCGAAAATAGGCCTATCAGTATTAATTAATTGATAATTAATTAATTACTCAGAAGGACCCAAAAATAAATAAATTCTAAAGTTTGTCAATAATTAATAAAAATTATATCGTTGTGTAGAGTTTGACTGTCTGACCCCAACGGTTCAATCGGATTTCAATTTGGAGAAAGTTGGACCAAAAAGTATACCCCGACTGGGACCAAATATTAATCCCAATCCAAACGGCGCCCTGCTCAATTACGCCGATTCCAAATCGCCGCACAATCACGGAAGCAACCAAGCCTGTGTCTTCTTCTTCTCCACTGGCCTATTTAAGCACAACTCAACTCCCTCAATTCCTCACCAAAAACATTCATTCTTCCTCCTATATTGTTCCTTGCTGAGAGTAGAGTGCAGTGGTGCTGTCATCTTTGTGTGAGGTCGCCGGAGCAGTAAGATAGAGTCGCCGGAAGTTTCGCCGGAAAATCGTCAAAACCTCCCTTACGCTTTGAGGTAAGCCCCTAGATATATCTAATGACTAGAATGTTCATATAGGTCGTTTCTACGTTCATAAATGGTCATTTGGTTGAGTTTTGTGTTTGACATGTTTGAAGAACCAAGAATCATAAACCTTGAATTTGAGGTTGAAAATATGTTTTAATAATTCTAATATGATCTATGAACCTTGGAGAACATCTCTATATAGTTTAATTGAAGTTCGGTGACTAAAAATGGTTTTC